GGGGGGGGGGGGGGGGGGGGGGGGGGGGGGGGGGGGGGTTGCAGGTGGAACGAGACGTTTCTGTTTTGCTGTCCTGGATTTAAGAAGTTTCTTCCACCAGAAACCTGAATGACCCCACTACCCTTGATGTTCACAAAGGTCATTAAAGCAAAGCTGTTCAAGAGAGCCTTTATTTATGACCTAGCTGTCCAGACCATCTAACCCAGAGGTAGGCAACCTTGGCTCTTTTATGACTCGTGGACTTCAACTCCCAGAATTCCTGAGCCAGCATGGCTCAGCTTGGAAACCTCTCCCTTTCCCCTCAGCATGGCTGGCTCAGGAATTCTGGGAGTTGAAGTCCACGAGTCATAAAAGAGCCAAGGTTGCCTACCCCTGCCCTAACCCCTTAATGCAAAAATGAATAGTTAAATGAGGTGTTGATTTTAATGAATTTATTATTTAGGCATTGCTTTTTCTTTCATTTTGTTTTTTCTCGGGCATTACCAGGAGTGATTTTGGAAAATGGGTATATGAAATTCATTGCCATGAATTAATAATAAAAGGATCAGATAGCACAATTGGGCATGGGTTCTACAATCAGTCACAGCCTTCCATCTCTGTCCTACATCAAGTCAGTGCATTGGTCCCCCAGGATAAACACCAGCTTCCCAAGATTTTAAATAAGGCTAGCATAAAAAGCAAAGAGATCAACCTAGAATCCCTGCCCAATTGTGCTATCTGATCAAAGATGGTTAGGGGACTGGAGGTTAAAACATATAAGGAATGGTTGCTGGAATTAGGTATATCTAGTTTAATGAAGAGAAGGACGAGGGGGGGACGTGATAGCAGTGTTCCAATATCTCAGGGGCTGCCACAAAGAAGAGGGAGTCAAGCTATTCTCCAAAGCGCCTGAAGGCAGGACAAGAAGCAACTGATGGAAACTAATCAAGGAGAGAAGCAACCTAGAACTAAGGAGAAACTTCCTAACAGAACAATTAACCGGTGGAACAACCTGCCTCCAGAAGCAGTGAATGCTCCAATGCTGGAAGTTTTTAAGAAGAGACTGGACACCCATTTGTCCGAAATGGTATAGGGTTTCCTGCCTGAGCAGAGGGTTGGACTAGATGACCTCCAAGGTCCCTTCCAACTTTATCATTATTATTATCCTTTTATTATTAATTCATGGCAATGAATTTTATACTACTTCTGAGCTCTAGATCTTTTTGTTTTACATAGCTCTGGAAGTCCACCACATCTATTGTCCTCTTAAGGAAGGAGATTGCTACTTTGTAAAAGGGCAGGATATTCCCTAGTAATATCTCATCTCCCGAAAGTGGAGATTAGAGGGTACTTGTTGGTGTTTTAGAGGCAAATAGCAACAGCACTTAGACTTACATATCACTTCACAGTGCTCTACAGCCCTCTCTAAGCGATTTACAGAATCAGCATATTTGCCCCCAACAATTTGGGTCCTCATTTTACTGACTTCGGAGGGATGGAAGGCTGAGTCAACCTTGAGCCCTGTCAGGATTGAACTCCAGGCTGTGGGCAAAGTTTGCCTGAAGTACTGCATTCTAACCACTGTGCCACCATGGCTCTCTATAGCAGACATGTCAAACACAAGGCCCGGGGGCCGGATGCGGCCCGCGAAGTGGTTTCATGTGGCCCGCGAAGCCATCCTGGAAACAGTGAGGGAACGGCCCCCGCTGCCTTGGCCCTGGCCCAGGCCAGCCGGGAGCCAATGTACAATTTTGTGGTGGCCATCTTGGCACTTGCCCCGGTGGACCATGCCTTGGCACTTGCCCCGGTCCCACCCCCTTCTGCCAGAGACCTTCAGATCTGTCCCACTCCTGCCCAGGCCCCCCATAGGCACCCTTGACGCGAATGATGTAGAACCGGCCACGCCCACCAAGTAGCCACACCCACTCCATCCACGCCCACCCAGTAGGCTGCACCCACTCTGGCCACACACACCCGCCCCCCCACCCAGGGCAACCACAATGCTGATGCGGCCCTCAGTGAAATTGAGTTTGACACTCCTGCTCTATAGGAAGTATCTTAATAGGATACTTAAGATACGTAGGATCTGCAATAGGAAATATCTTGATACAAATGGTGGTTCAGGACTCTGGCAAGGAGGCGGTGGGATTGTCTGGTGGCCGTGCCCTTGAAGGGCAGCTTTCTACAGAGCTGCTTTTGGGGAAACTGGCCAGGCTTCCTCTTTGTGTTCTCATCTTTATTTCTGCCTTTGCAGCCAATACTCCATGATGGAGGATGAAGAAGAGCTGCCCCATCACGATGACCGGACGTGGTATGTAGGCAAGATCAACCGCATCCAGGCAGAGGAAATGCTGGTGGGCAAACGTGATGGAACCTTTCTTATTCGGGAGAGCAGCCAGCGAGGGTGCTATGCCTGCTCTGTTGTGTGAGTTGTCTTAAAGTATTTTTTTTTAAATTCATTTAAAAACCAGGCTTCGTTCATTTCAGCTGACTTGATTGATCAGCTGAATTGAATTAGTTGGTGCCTGTGTTGTGGTGAAACTCAAATGCAGCCTTCATTTGTGTTTTTTTTTATAGGATGTAGCCAATATTCTCTAAAAGTTGTTTTATCTCACACGGTAAAGGATGCCTCTTCCAAGATGCTCTTCTTTGTAACACCTAGAAATATTAGTTATTTTTCGGGGCAACCACTTTCATAAATTGCCAGGAGCGTGCACCGTCTATAATGGATTTATTTACTTATTTCTTTTGCAAAACTATATGGCTGCCTATCTTAATCAAATAATTCCAACGCTGAACAAGGATAAAAATGAAACATGGATATAAAAAACATAAAAAACCCGTTAGACTATATCTTAGAAAAGGCATTGTACCTGTTCTCTATCACCTAGTCCAGGGGTCGGCAACCTTAAACACTCAAAGAGCCACTTGGACCCGTTTCCCAGAGAAAAGAAAACACTGGGAACTGCAAAACCTGCGCGCGGGGGTGGGGGGGGTGGGGGAGCTTGATTGAAGAGTTTAATTAAAAAGAAATAGAGGCTGCTGTGCATGAGTTCTCTCTCTCTCTCCCTCTCTCTCTCTCTCTCTCTCTCCCTCTCTTTGTCTCCCTCCCTCTCTCTCTCCCCCTCCCCTCTCTCTCTGCTCACCTGGCAAGCTGGCTTCACGCTGTTCTCCGACAAGCTGACACACATTCTTATTGGGCTGGCTCTCTCCTGCCCTTGGTCTGCCAGTCCTCTTCCCCCACTCTCTCTGTGTGTGTGTGTGTGTGTGAGAGAGAGAGAGAGAGAGAGAGAGAGAGCTGCTACTTTCTGCTGCTTCCTACTGAGACGCAGCAAAGGTAGGAGCCCCACCTAATAAGCTTGTCAGCTTGTCCGAGGCTCTGGAGCCGCGGGTTACCGACCCGTGACCTAGTATAAGGGTCCCCAATCCCCAGGGTGTGTCATGGTACCGGGCTGTGGCTCGTTTGGAACCAGGCCGCACAAGTTGTGGGCGAGCATGTTTTGCACGTGCAGCTCCACTTGCATGAGCAATGGGCAAGCACACTTGCGTGTGAAGCTCCGTTTGTGCGAGCGGCAGGCATGTGTGCCCACTGCTAGCACAGAACCATCCCCTCCCCCTCTTCCCACCAGAAAGGTTGGGGACCTGGTACAAAACGCTTCTTCAAAAATGGCGATTATGACCTGCATTTCCTTTAGATGCAATATTTGCCTTTTTTGTTTAACAAATGCAGATGGTCCTCGCTTGGCAACCACCTGTTCAGCGACTATTTGAAGTGATGATGGTGCTGCATGAGGAGGCTTAATGGCCAGTCCTTGCAGTAGCAGCCATCACGGCATCCCAGCAGTCCCACGACTGAATTTCAGATGCTTCGCAACCAGCATGCAAGTCCACACAGCAACCTATAGTCACGTGACTGTCATTTGCGTCCTTCACTGCTAACTTTCAACGAGTAGAGCTAATAGGGAAGCTTCGCCACAAGTTGTAGTCACATGATTTCACACTTAACAACCATGATTCCTTAATGACCGGAATTGCCATCATAAGTCAGTGCAGTTACATGATTTTTGACTTTATGCCCGCATTGCTTAGCAACAAGAGTTGCCAGACCTGGTTGTGATTGTTGTCTGAGGACTACCTGTTCTTCCAAGAAATTTTCAATATTATTCGAAATACTGCATCTTGGATAACATCCGCTTTCTCTCTCTTCCTGTGCCCCCCCCATCCTACCCCACCCACCCCCGGTTGTCCCTCATTGCATTTATGTGGTTCTTTTTCTTGTGCATTGTGTAATGACACAATGTACGATTCTTAATTAAGTTCTTAATTTCCTGTTCTTGCAGGGTGGATGGAGACACCAAACACTGCGTGATTTACAAGACAGCAACAGGCTACGGCTTTGCAGAACCTTACAACCTCTACGCCTCGCTTAAGGAGTTGGTTTTGCACTACAAGCACACCTCCCTCGTGCAGCACAATGACTCACTCAATGTCACACTGGCACACCCGATCCTCTCCCAGCCTCCACCAAGATGAACGCTTGTCTTCTCTGCCACTTTCCACTTCCTACCCTTCCAGAATCTCCGATGAATGGCTTGCCTTTCCTTGACCGCCCCACGGGATCAAAAAACCCCTCAGATTTCCTTCTTGTGTTCACCGTTAACTATGCCTGTTGTTCAATATCTTGCTTTTCATCGGTGGCTCTCCTCTTCTACTTCATTTTCCTGCCTACCCTCGTTTCTCTAAGCCGGTATTTTTCAACCTTGACAATGTTAAGATACTTGGACTTCAAGTCTGCACGCTGGCTGGGGAATTCTGGGAATTGAAGTCCATGCATCGTAAAGTGGTTAAGGCTGAAAATCACTGTTCTAGGCTAACAATATATATATATATTATATATATATTACATTTGCCGGTGCATTTTGAATTCTTTCTTCATTTTCTCCTAGTGGCAGTTTTGGTGCTAGGGATCTTACCTTACACCGCTGGGCATGATCTCAGCAGACAAGCTATTCTTGGGAATTAAAGGTGCTTCTGCAGGCTGGCAATCCCTAAGAACTTGGGGAGAAACCATCATTTCCTTTCCTCTCTTTCTCCCTCCTGGATTTGCCTGGGAAGGGCGGGATGGGATGGTTAAGAACTCCTCTGGCCTTGCATCCATCTATGTTGGCATCCACCTGGCACAACTCAGCCTGCTTTGCAGTGACTCTCCCTCCCTTGTGCCGGCTTCCTCTTCCTTCCCCAGTGTATAGTGATATGACAGTAATCCGTTTTAGCTTCCTATGCAGCTGCTTCTGTTCTTAAATATGCAAAAATGGAGAGCAGGAAAGAAAACTCCATTGTAGTAGCCTTTGGAAGCTTCTCCCCACCCTTTCAATCTGCCTTGCTTGCCAAGCACTTTACCTGCTGCTGAATGGGCGGTGGGGGGGGGGGGAAATGGAGGCAGATTCAAATGCCCTCACACTTCAGCCTTCCCCCACGGCTCCATTTAAGCAGGACGCAGAGCCTGCCTCTTCTTTGAACACTGATGCTGAGGCTAGCAGGCCGTGCTGGAGACCCTCAGCCTTCCTGTGAGACCAGGTGTAACACCCTTCTGATAGGGCTCCACTTCAGCATCCCAGCCAGTCCTGCTTCTCAGGGCTGTACCTGCTCATATTTCTGGATGAACCTGGAGATCGGTGGCTTGACTGCATGCTCTTTGGCATAAAGCCATAAACTCATTTCCCACTTGTGCCCAAATGGAAGGGGGGGGGGAGAAGAAGTTCTTGGTAATTCTCAGTACTAGTCTTTGTCCACCTGTATTACCTGGCCTGCTTTACGTAGTGCTGGCTTCCATTTCCAAGAGCTGGTCTAAAGCCATTCGATCTGTACAACTCATATCGGACGTAACCCTTGTGATTTTTGTCTCGTGCGGGCACACGCAATGCTCTTTGTCCTGAGCCTGCATTTTTTTATTTTTCTTTTGTCTTCCTATTAAAGCCCCTTTTTGATGTCATTGCTGACCTCCGGTAAAGGATGGAATTATTATTATTTTTTTAATTCTCATCATTCTTTTCCAGTTAGCAAGGAGGAGGGCTCTTTCTTGGTTCACGGCCATATGCCTCTCTGGATCTGCATGTTCCTCCCATGCAGGGCGGAGGAAGCTCGAGTGAATGGACCTCCAGCAGCAAAAGTTTTCTCCTTTTTGTGTGTTCTCATTCTAGATATATGCAATAATACCAAGCACCTCTCTTTATTTCCCTTCCTCACATCATTCCAGCCATACTTTCCAGGCTCCTTCACTTTAAAAAAAAAAAAGGAAAGAAATGTTTATTACATCATTGTAAGCTCCAGTATTTGCGTCAGAATTTGTTACTGTAAGATAAAAAAGAAAATGAAAAGTTTTGTACGGTACTTCAACATTAAAAAACAATAATAAAATGAAATGTGTTAATGCAAAAGTGCAGGTGCTTCTGTTTCTCTCCCTGCCCCTCACATTTTGATTCTTAAAATGGAAAAAAATAATTCAGCTTTTTTTTTTTTAATTTGCAGAGAGCTGAATTTCAAAGCCTGTCAAGCAAGACCAAGACAGAGCAGTAATAACTTTTAAAGAACTTTTTTTTTTCCTGAGAAGGAAGTGGGTAGCCTGATGCTTTTTGTAGAAAAGAAGAAGTGAAAAATGATGTCTTTGCACGTCAGGGATCTCATAACAGTACCAGCCCCTGAAAACTGCAACACTGGTGTCTTTTCATAACTTGATACGAATGTTAAAAATTTTTTTTATCGAATTAGAGCATTAAATACAATTTTATTCCTTTAACTTAAAATGTTTCATTGTGGCCACTTGGCTGGCAATTTTTTCATTAACCAGTATGTCAATATTTGGTTTTCTTTCTGGGTTGGTACATATTGTATTATTTTGTCATGACAATTTATAAGTGGCCAACTATGAATTCTGAGAGTTGAAGTCCACAGGTCGTAAAGTTCTCATGGTTGCCCACCCTTGATTTATAGGATGAGATAATTTAGGAAGCCTACCCCAAAAAACTACCCCAATTTTGGTTCTCTTTTTCTTTTTCCTTGCCTGGTGCAGTCCTTTCTCCTAATTAATAGAAAGATCTTCCACCTCCTGGGCTGGTGGAATGACCCTTACAGCTGAGCAGCCAAACCCAGCCTTCCTTGGCCATCTTGTTCCCCATTTGCTCAGGCAGTGCCAGCTTCTGACCCCTTTTTCTTAGCCAAGTCTTGCTTTGCCTCGGTTCCCCAGAAGATCCCAGTGCTACCTGAGAAGCATTGCCCTCCACCGTCAAGAGACAAGGCTTCCTGGAAGTTGGCACGGGTCGGTCAATCAATCTCTGCTATTGCCAGGAGCACTGTTGGGTTGGGCTGAAGCAAGCTGCTAAGCTGCTATTTGCAACCTGTTCCTCTTGCTGGGATGCTTCTATGGCTCAAACTGGGCATCTTAGTGATGCTCAGCCAGTGTTGCTAAGCAACGTCCTACCATCTGGAAAATTACATGGAAGGAGGCTCCACTGAGACATTCATGCCCTAGTCCAGGGGTAGGCAACCTTGGCTCTTTTATGGCTCAGGAATTCTGGGAGTTGAAGTCCACGAGTCATAAAAGAGCCAAGGTTGCCTACCCCTGCCCTAGTCATTTCCAGATTGGACTACTGTAATATGCTCTACATGGGGCTGCCCTTGAAGAGTAACCGGAAGGTCCAACTAGTGCAGAAAGCATTGGTGCAAGCAGTTATGTGTGTTCTGCTTTATGAGCTGTATTGGCTGCTTCTGGGTTCAGTTCAAAATGCTATTGACCCATTAAAGCCCTTCAAGGCATGGGGAGAACTATCTGAGGGATGATCTGTTCCGATTACTTCAGCCCATCCCATTAGAAATGGCAGGGAAGGCATGTTATGGGTTCCATCAGGAAAGGACTTCCATTTGCTGGGTCCCAGGAGTTGGGCCTTCTCTGATGTGGCACCCTTCCTTGAAAAACATTCTCCCCTCCGAAGCTACGCTCACTCTTTCCCTGCCATCCTTTAGGACACGGGGGTCAAACTGGCGGCCCGTGGGCCGGATGCGTCACATACAGGCGATGCCCACCCCGGCTCCACAAAGGCAAAAAATGTCACAATTTGTCATGATACATCATGTGACGTGATCAAGTTTGACACCAGGTGGTTTAGGAAGTCCCTCAAGATCCAGTTATCTCATCAGGTCTGAGAGTTCTTTATGAACCAGAGGCATTCTTAGATCACTGTGATTGATATTCTTGCTCTTTCAGTGGAATCTGTATATTTTAAAATTTTTGGTAACATTCTTTTTAATCCTTTTAAAATGACTTTTCTTAATCTATCTGCTGTTTAATTCAACTGTTGTACACCGCTAAGAATTGCTTTGTGTGAGAGGGATGGTCATAGAAATGTGATATAGAGATAGAATAAATAAATACAGGTAGCCTTGACTTGATGACCACAACATTTCTGTTACTAAGTTACTAACCCTAATTATAAAAACCCCTCAAGGCAACAAAACTAAATGCTCGCCTTGTTATGAGTCTGCTCACAGGTGCATTTAGCTCCGTTGGAAGACGAGCTCATTTAGAAGGTCCTTCCCAGATTTACTTCTCTGGATATGCAGGTAGGCCTCGACTTATGACCACAATTGAGTCCAAAATTTATGTTGCTAAGCGAGACATTTGGTAGGTGAGTTCTGCCCCATTTTATAGCCTTTCTTGCCACAGTTGTTGAATAAATCATTGCAGTTGTTAAGTTAATAACACGGCTGTGAAGTGAATCTGGCTTCCCCATTGATTTTGCTTGTCAGAAGATTACAAAAGGTGATCACATGACCCTGGGACACCGCAACCGTCATAAATAGGAGTCAGTTGCCAAGCGTCTGAATTTTGATCACCTGTAACTTGTAACTTCGAACAGTCACTAAATAAGCTGTTGTAGGTCAAAGACTGTAAAAAAATGCCCCGAGGGTTAAGAGCTTGAGCCAAACAGTAAGTTGTGTAACTTTTCTGCAGAAGTGGTTAAGCTCTGGTCTTCTTCAACTTCCATCAACCTATCTTGAACAGGACTGAAAGGAGAGAAGAGGCGGTTCTTGTGTAGGTGGTAATTTCTGCTTTGCTCTCAACCGGGCTATTTGTTGAATTTGCCCTTAGCTTGTTCTTTGGCCAATGACCTTATATCAATCTTTGGCTCAGATTATTTGCTTCAGGAACCTTCCTTTCAAAATAACCTCTCAAAATAACCACATTGTCAAAAGATTAGCTACTGATTTATTTTTGTATTTCTTGGTTATTTCCCAGGTTGCTCTTGCTACAGTTTTTGCAGCATTTTTGCTAGGTTCTCTTTGTCCTTCCTCTGCTATTCGATGACTATCATGCTGGTGTCTGAACACCATATTTTTGTGACCCCCAGAACACCCTCTAGCCAATGTTTCTCATTCTTGGCAGCTTTTAAGTCATGTGGACTTTGACTCCCAGAATTCCCCAGTCAGCACACCTTAAAGTTGCCATGTTCCTCACTTTTGTAGCATTGACACTGATTTGGAGGGGGGGCACATAATATTCCTTGTTTCCTTTCTTCTAAACCACCAACTCTTTTTTTTTCTCCACCTGCAAAAAACCCCACCTCTTCACAAAACAAATAGTTGGCATGTTTCCTATGGTATATAAAACCAGGTTTTTTCTTTAATGAACCTGATCCTAGCCACAAAAATGCTTACCTGCCCCAACTTATACTGCTAATAAAATATATTGCCTGTCTCTTATATTGAG